TTATTAATCCCCTAAGTTTAAATCATTCAGGGAAATAAGGAATGAAGAATCCAGATAGTAGTGAAACTAAAAGATTAGCTTTGAGTCCTTAATGAGTAATAAGACTAAACAACTAGATTTGAAATGGTAGTTTTAGAATCAAGTCTGATGAGTTGGACCTGTGATCTCAGCACTGGGAGACTGAGGCAGGAGGATCACTATTTGAGCTCAGCCTGGAAAACTTAGAGCTTGTCTCAAAAAAGTAAAAGAAAAAGATTTGAGGCTTGGTTTCAGTGCCCATTATCAAGGGAAAAATAGCTTAGAGAATGGCATATTGCAATTTATAGTTTTTTAAAAGATGATATTATATCACTCTACATAGATATAAAATACTAAAATAATATTAAGATAATACTAAAGACAAGAATTCATGACCCAGTGGCTTTGTGATAATTCTTTAGAATGGTGTTTTGCATAAAATAGACACATCCTTCTTTAAAATGTTCAGTATCATTGAGAACCATGCATTAACTGATGAAGGTGACAGACACAACATGCATGTTTCCAAAGATTTTTTAATTCAGGAAATTCTAGTTACCGAGTCCTATTACCGAGTCCTCTCGAGATTTTATGTATTTTTTTCAAATACTGTCCAACAAAGTTGGATAGAAACTAATAGAACATTTCTGAAGTTTTAATTAAAAAGAATTGTTAGTTTTTTAGCTATTTCAGACTAAATGTTTCTTCTGAATTCCTAAATTCATTTCAGGTTTTTTTTTAAATAAAAGAAGAGTACCAATTTAAAATTACTCTCAGGATTATAACAAATATACATTAAAAATAATTTAAATTTATTTTGATACATTTTTTTTTTGTGTGTGTGTGTGTGGAACCAGGAATTGAACTCAGGCCCTTGTGCTTGCCAGGGAAGCACTTATTCCACTGAGCCATCTCTCCAGCCCCATGATTTTTAATACCATGTTTTCTAAATGCCATGTTAAAATTCTGGTGAAATTTATCCCATTGAAGTTGACCATAAAGGAATTTCTTTAAAGCAAAGTCTTGCTTTGCTATTGATTTCCGTTTCAAATGTTGAGGAAACTTCTATCTGAAAACCTAAAGTTTATAATGTCACCATTTTGGCTGGTCCTGAAAAAATTAAAAACTCTTCCAGCTTTGTGCACAATGAAATATAACCATGAATTAAGTTTGTTTGGAGGTTCTGGCCTCCTGAATGTCTCTTTTCCATTGTTGAAAGTCCTTGATGGCTCTGTGTGTGCCCTCTCCCTATGCCTGAGGGTCTCCAGCTGGATTCCCCCTTCAACGTTGAATACACTGTCCTTTTCATTAGAATATTCATATTGTCTATGTGTATATGTTCCAGCCACATATTTTAAAAACTTATTTGTAGTTTATTTTTAAACTGTTTACATACATTGGCCTATATAAACAATTATAAATATTTGAAGGGAGTAATTTACTGCTGCAATTTTTGTATACTTCAAACTACCTCTTAGGAAAAGTTTAGCTGAGTATTCATTAGAATTACAAAATTATTTCTAACTCTCAGTTTAGGTAATATATACTTTTTAAACAGCTTTTTTAAAATAGAAATCTTGTATTTATATAATTAGTATCTAAATCTCTAATCTTTAGTTTTAACTATGGAACTTGTAAAGAAATTATTAAGAGCTAATATTTTAATAGCTTAGAGTTCTACTGTGTATCTTTTTATGTTATGGGTAACCTATACTTTTCCTTCTATTCTGAGCTGTAGCAAATTTTCAGCAAGCCAAAGTGAGCCAACCATCAGAACACTATCAGAGTAAAAATGACAGCACACCATTTGTTTACAGCTTATAATTTAAAGAAACCTTGGATTAATTGTCTGGTGCTCCTTTACTGTTATGTTAGGAGCAAAATATCCTTTTTTCCCTTTTCTTAAGTATTTCTTGAGTGATGAAATCACCTTGCATTATTTTAAGAGTAGGAAATAAGACTGGTTTGGATTCTGTTTTTTTTTTTTTTTTTTTCTTTTTGTAGCATTTTAAGGAGGGAAAAGAACATATAAAACATTAGTGTCTCAACCAAAAAATTAGAACTCTAAATAAAATAACAAGTTATAAAATATTTTCTTAGTTATTTTAATCCTGATAGAAAATTAAGATCATGTTACCCCAAAGCAGCCTCAGTTCCTCTTAAACTTTATTCTCAGAGAAAAACCAAGAGTCTTTAAATACCATTTGATTATGCTTGCTTTTCCTTCAAATAGAGCTAAATTGCTTTGTGGGATTGGATTTTATACTTTTTAAAGATGAAAGATAAAAATTGAGCAGTTGACTGAAGTATGCCTATAAACTTTTATACAGAGTTAAATACAAAGAAGATTACAATTAGTAAAACATTTAGTTTTGTTTCAAAGTTCCTAACACCATTGGGTGTTTAACAAAAATAATTAAACTCAAACTTTCAAATATTGTAGCTCATTTATGTGATCTTATGTAATTAAATGTAAACTTATTTAAAAATGAGAAGGCACAGGGAAAATACTGAAAGCTCTTTAGTAAAGCAGCTCTTACACAACAATTCATGTAAGTGTAATAAACTGTGACTCCTTTGTATTTATCAGGCCATTATACAGGTCACTTTGTTGTTTATATTTGCCTTTTTTTGTTTGTTTTTTGAGCTGCCAGACCCAAGCCCTTGAGCGTATCTCCAAGTCAACCTTTTATTTCTGTTTTTTTCTAAAACTACCCAAGTTTTCCAGTTTCACCTCTCTCCACCCATATGCAGTTCAGTTACAATAAATAGGGTACACCTAAGGTGTGCCTGTGTTGGAAGGAAGGACGTTCCTATTTTAATTGAATTCCACCTAAGTGTCTTTTGCTGAACCTCACAGGGCATTTCTCACACACTTATACTAAAACCAGCAATTGCTTATGTTAATTTTTATAAATATTTTTTAAAATAATCTAAGCAATGAGCATTTTTTTATCCTTGTGCTTATTACCATACAGAATTACATACATTCCTAGACAATAGAAGAGCAATTTTCAACAAGTAGCCATGTGGGAATTTGGCTAAAATTTAAAATTATTCATGTTTTTGCAAACTTTAGGTTGATTTCTATATATGTTCTGAGATACACTATTTGGATGTTAGACTTGACTACTTCAAGATTCTACTGATACAAATGAAGTGTTAACTGGAGGTTAGGTTAGTATAAATTGATGAGAAGTTTTTTCTGATTGTTGCTCATCTGCCTCAATTTTTTCTAGTTAATAGCCTTAAGCATTGACGGTCTTCTCTGTAACATTTGGTACTGTATCAAATGTGAATGCAGAATGTGGGCATTGTCAAGACTTTCTTAAGTATGGGTACTTTTTCCTGTACACTTCATCTCTTCAATGAAGATTATTTCCCATAGCTTAGTATATATTAGGCATTCACATAACTGTTATTTCTATTATTAAATGCTAGGGACTTCTTTGATACAGATTGCTACTTTCAGTGCTTTATCATAACAAGACAACCTTATGTTGTGTCTCCAATACCACAAACACTTGTGTAAACGTAACCATTATTGATGTCAGGAAATAGTGAAGCATTACATACCTACATGTTTGCATTCATCTGCTAGTCATTCCTGTGATTTGATTTTGTTGAAAGAGGTCTTTGAAAGATTGCATTTTTCCTGGGGAGGGGGCTGATGGGGAGATGTGTAGTAGTCAAATGTTAAAAAAGACAACACTCCAAGGGGAAGATTTCTAATTCAAAATTTATTTAATCAAAAGTCAAAATGTTATCAATGGAGTTAATGAATTGATCAAACATACAATAATCAAAAGATAGTAAATTGTTAGAGCTGTTTATCCAATCTCATTGAATATCAATTTCATAATTTTATCCTACCCATAGTTTATAACTGCTGTGTCTCTGAAGTATCATGCAGACATCTCAGGGCACAGTCAGCAGTGCTTGCTCAGAGCAGAGTTTTCTGCCATGGAAGGTGGTCCCCAGAGTTTAGATTATGTGGGAAACTCACTTCCCAGAAGGGTTTCCCCCAAATACCTCAGTGAAACTCAGGAGACTCTCAAGGAAATACTCACCTGCCCAAAGGGCTTTGTATACGTTTTGAGTATCAGTAGTTCTAAATAGCATAAACATAACTCTATTCTGTGTTAATAATTTATACCTGTAATTGTCAACTGGTTGTATAATAATAACATTAATTGCTTGGGTCCCAGATACTATGTCTGAATAATATTACATGTTTTTAGCACAAAGAAATGTGATCCAACATGCACTGATCTCAAAATCTGAGAAAAGTTGGAATAACAATGATTAGTATGGGAATTTGAAAACTCTATAAAGTTTTTACTACTTTGTAATATTTGGAAAATATTTTAAGGAAAAATAACCCTCTTAAAACTTAGCTAATGAAGTCTGCTTTTCTACTGTACATTGTATTATACAGTTAACATGCAGTTAGAATGGTCAAAACACTTCTGTGATCTTTTTCACTTTATAGAAGACTAAAACTAGAATTTAAGTTTTTAATGTGAAATTTTGCTTTCTTTAATGGGAAAGATCAGGTGCCTGGGTTTTTTTTGTTTTGATTTTTGTTTTGTTTTTTTTTTTTTTTGTATGAGCTTTTCCCTCCCCAGTTAGCCACTCTAGCTGAGGCCTCATTAAGATAAGCTTAAATATAAGGGCTTCAAAAACTTTAATGAATAAGAATATAATTCTCAAGATTGTCAGGAAAGCTATAATCCCAAAACTTTGGGAGGCTGAGGCAGGAGAATTTTTATGAGTTCAAGACCAGCCTGAACTACTTTGTACGACCCTGTCTCCAAGAAAATAAAGATTATCAGGAAAATTAGTGATTAAGAAGATGTCAAATAAAAGTTGTTGCACTGTGAAAAGCCATTGATAATTTACTTAAAAGTATAAGCTAGAGTTCCCAATGCAAATGTTTTAAGTCTTCATACTATACCTATTATTTACACTACTTACTCATGGACTGAAGTGCATGTAGTTAAAAATGGTAAATGTGAACCCACTTTTCTAATCCATGGTAGGATTTAGATATTTCCTGTGGCAGTGGTTTCTCACAGTCTTTGTGAAGATGTTGAGAACATTATTCTTGTTCTTGATTTCCAGGGCTGTGATGTCATTTCTACCTTTTTTTAAAGTTCATTTTGGCTTTTACCCTGTCTCCATGTTTAGAGTTGAATTCATTGTCTTTAAAAAAAAAAAGCTAAATGAGGATAATAGTAGCACTTTCATGTTTAATATGCAGAGTACAGTGGCAGGAAGTCATCTGGAAGTGACCTTTTCATAAAATATGTATAGGTAGAGGTGGGCTTACGACTTACTTTCATGGAAATAAACAGAATGTACTGTTGAGAAATAGGGCTGAATACATAGCATGTATGTGCCATTATATAGCGTGAGCATGCTCCTTGTTACTTCCTAATTTTAAGAACCACAGTTCACTGTTTTAGAGGTATCCAAGGGGGCCAGACACAAGGTGACCACTGCACATTCTTAGAGCTTGAGTGTGCTGGACGCCCTGAAGTAAGACAGGAACTTGGAGCAGAAGCTAACAATGAAGACCCAGACATTCCGTGCCATCTGCCATCGTGCAATGAGCAGGCGCCAGATGATAAGAAAGAGGGCGATGTTAAAGAGGTAGTGAATGTTTCGGAGCCTGGGGACAGACAAATAAGCAGAGTTAAAATAGTACCAAACACGTGCCTGCCTTGCCTGGAGCATACATGTGTCTTCCTGGCTATGAGCAGCAGATCCTGATACTGCCTTTACTCAAGAGTGTGCTGACTGCATGGCCTTTGTGGTTTCTGAATTCCACCACATTTCCTAAGTTTTTCTCCTGTTTCTACTTGAAACTATTTAACACATTATTAGCATAATTGCTTTAAAAATACACTCTGCTCTCAATACCACATTGTGAATTTTGCAGGTAGTTCACTAGCATGAATTCTAGTTACCTGCTTTTCAGATCTGTATTGGCAGTATGCTTTTCCATGCTTATTTCTGCACTATAGACTTCTCTTGTACCAGAATTACTACCCACGTGCTATAATTTTTCATCCCTCAGGAGTTATGAGTCAAAGAAATGTAAAAAGAATTGAAAGTGGGTTACTGACACGCACATCATCTTCTCCAAGGTTCTGTAGTAAGACCAGGTCTCCTGTCATTTGGGTAGTCTTTATATTGCATCATGGGAGAGTGGTAGAAAAACAAATTTGTGTTCAAAACTGGCTCCTTCCTTACTTCCTTACATGGACAAGTTCCTTGGTTTCTTTGAGACTTTTGTGATAAAAATATAACAAAACCAGTGCTTGCCCCTGGAGCAGGGAATTGTAAATGTGATGCAGGACAGCACAGAATGTAGGACTGTACCAAGTGTCTAAGAATTCATTGCCCCTTACATTACACTAGTTTCATGCCTGCTATGAAGTCAGATTCATAATCAGTGTTCATAAGCATTAACCATGTTTACCTTCTTAAGTGTTGCCTGGCCTCAGGGACCCCTGCCATGTCCTCTTTCAGCAAGTACTTCTTCACCCCCAGGACGTAGTTCTCGATGTACTCTAGCCAGTTGAGCTGGCGCACATCAAAATTGAACATCTGCAAAGGAAGAGGACATAGGCTGCTGGGGTGGCCTTGTAGGAACGCCACTGATCCCCTGGGGAAGTTTCACAGAAATTGGGGCATTCAGCATGGGAGACATAAGTTGGATGCTGCCAAAGCAGATTATGGGATCTTATTTCTTGAAGTGCTAATAATACACGTTACTCTGCATACAAACATTGGGGGACCAGGGAGATGGCTCAGTAGAGTAAGTGCTTCCTTGGCAAGCGCAAAGGCCTGAGTTCAATTCCCAGTTCCACCAAAAAAAACCCCAAAACAAAACAAAACAAAACAAAACAAAACAAAACAAAACAAAAAACGGGCCTTACGAAGTCTGAGGAAAACTTAAGGGACCTGCTGTTACTTCCTCTGGTAACAGTCTGCAGTTGGCTGGGTCTACATTCTCAAGTACACAAGGAACAACTACTTTAAAAATGTTAGTGGCCAAAATGAATTATCTTTCCCATTCCTCTATAGTGCCTTCCCTGAAGCCTACCATCATCTGCTACCCACACCTCCTTCTCCTAGCTTAAGCTTTGTAAGCAACGCCTTGAGGGGTGGGAAGCAGGATTTGTTCCTAAAGTGAGTGAAGGACAGAGGGCCGCAGAGGGAGGAGGAGGAGGGCACAGAGAGGAGGGGTTGCCTCAGTGGGGTAGGGAAAATGTTTAACTTTGCTCTTCCATGATTACAAATGCATCCTCTGGGTCTCTGGTTTGTTACTGAATAGCTAAAGTAAAAGAACTGCGTTTGATGTTTTTTTTCTTTGGCCTGGGTATATTTTGCATTTATTACTATTACTTATTCATGTATGTAATTCACATATTCCAGGTTTTACACTGTTTCATGTTCTTCAGGTAGATTTCAATGAAGTCCTACTTTGAAATCTTCGATTCCATGTGGAAAATCAAATTGAATTCTGAGCCATCCCAAAGTTTGGCAGTTACATTTAAGACCATTACTTTTGCTAACATTTGGAGAGCATATGTTATATCCACTGACACTTTAATGTTGTCTGTATTGCCAGCATTCAGGAGGCTGAGGCAGGAGGATCATGAGTGTGTGGCCATAGCAAGTTCAAGGCCAGGCTAGACTACATAGAATGTGGCTCAAAGTCATTAATACATGCTCAGGGAACACCTAACACAACTCTAAGGGGAGAGAAAAAAAAAAAAAAAAAAAAACCAGGAACTTGTACAAGATACACACACACACACATACACACACACAATCTGCTTTATATTTGTGAATTTTGGAATATGCAGAGATTTTAGGGTTTAGCCTTTGTGTAACTGCCCAGAAGCTAAAGAAATAAAGTGAGAATCTACGTTGAGAAATGAAATGAAGTACTGAAGAAATGGAGGCAGTCTGGCAGGAGGGACAGCCTAGAAGAAGCAGGGTGCTCTTTCAGGGGACAAGGGCAGTACTTAGTGTAGAGAGATGATCGCTTTAATCGCAAAAGAATATGAGTGGGGTAGGTGAGCAATGTGACTTTCCCATGGAAACCACCCTTGTCTAGGAGATGACACTGGAGTTGGGAGGGTAGCACAGTGTACGCCTCACACAACAGCAGTGTAGATCCCACTAAAGTCCAGGACCTGGGGCTCTCACCAGCATTAAATGTGTAGCTAGGATTGTACTGATGGCACTGCCTAATTTTCTTAACAAAAGTGAAGGTAAAATAAATTCAGCTCTACAACCAAAACTTCCTTTATCAACCTGATGGGTCCAATAACTAAATTCCAAGCATTGTGCTGTCTGCTGTTGGCAGCCTGGCTGTACTCACTCTTTGGTCCTCAGGACTCAGCATTGACATCAGCATCTCTGTGTTGTGCGTACTCCACTCCCAGCTGCGGTTGATAAAGTACTCCAGCATGGAAATGGTTCTGAGAAGTCGGTTCATGAGCTTCATCACCCTTCAGGAGAGATCGCATAGGAGCAGATGTCAACTCACAAGCATGGCCTCTTCCCTCATTGTGTAAAGATGGTAACAAATTCTAAGAAAACCTATCCCTTGTCTCACAGACTTTCTCTACAGGAAGGAGAGGAGCTGACTCTTAACAGCATTTTAAAACAGCCAACCATTCACCTTCATAATCCTACTGTTCATTTACTGAATTCTGAGGTAGACAGTTAGAAAGTTTGTTTCTGTTCTTGGATTTTTTTTTTAAATGAGTGGGATCTAACATTGTGGTACATAGCTTGGCAAAATGTTGACTATCCTGCTATCTGATGAACAAAACAAATTGTTAATTGTAATGCAGATTTTAGGAGAAAATAATTTATTGTTGATAACCTACTCTATTAGGTACGGTGCTCATACTTCTAAAAATATCTGCTAAATTTCCTAACCTCATGGTCAGTAGGTATTTGTCTTCATTTTTATTAATGGCTAACATAAGCTTAAGGCTAGATTGGAACTAAAATTCCTACCCAGTTTTGACTGACCTCAAAATACCTTGGTTTATATAATCTCACTACCTGTGTTTCATTACTTGCAAGGGATTACATCTTCTAATCTAGCAGTCAGAATTTGAACCAGCTCGTCTGTGTGAACTACCCAAGTTCATAACAACTTATAAAAACCTTTCATTTGTGCTCTTAATTATGAGGTAGTCAAGAGTTACTTATATTCATTTTAACAGAAAAATTATGTTCAGGGTCACATAGCTAGCTCTCTGTGATACGAGTTGCCTTGGGCTACTGAGAACACTTCATTTTTGTCTTAGCTAAGCCAAGATTGGTAGGAGTGTTACAATAGCCCACTTAGTAATGCTCGATGATGCTGTGCTGAAGGTTTGCTTTTATTTCTGGCTAAATCCTACGGTCGGGCTGGGGAGATGGCTCAGTAGAATAAGCGCTTCCCTGGAAAGCGCAAGGGCTGAGTTCAATCCCCAGTTCCACAAAAATAAAATAAAATAAAATAAAATAAAATAATGAAATAAAATAAAATAAAAATAAATAAATCCTACAATCTGTGCCCCTAATGACTCATGAGATACTGTCCCAATGTGTCACCAGAAATGTCTCTGAAACAAGTACCAAAATAGAGTTTGTAACTCTATTATCTCAATTTCCATTCCTGCCCCAATCTGGTGCACTTCATGTAATTCTAACAGATTGAATTTTTAAAATACTGCTTATAAAGTATACTCATTGTATGTAAGGGACTATATGAGCCTTATGGTATTTATTTTAAGAAAAATGTATGTTATGCTCAGGAAAAACTAAAAAGTGATTCATTTTACAATATAACAATTTAAAACTTCTTTAGTAATAATAATTACATAGTCTAAGCATTTTATGAAAATCCCTATAAAATAGATATATGATAGATATATTCCCTATCCCTATTTATAGAGGAAGAAAATGGAATTTAGAATGATGGAGAAATTATAGGGCTTATCAGACTGAACTTGCGGGACCAAGATTTGAATCCTGTTAAGTCTGACTCTAAATTCCAGGCACTTAAGCTGTTACAGTCATGCTCACTTTTACTATTAAAAAATCTGTCATCAAAGCTGAACAATACAAAGAGACATGAAGAAAATACATGAGATATAGATTCACAACACATACAAAAGTTTTCTTACATTTATAAGGATATCTCACTAAAAAAAAAAAAAGCCAGGCAAAGAACAGAAGCAGTCAACTCACAGAAGAAGCCTTGAATGTCACAATAAACAAATGAAAGCTCAGCTCCTCTAGCAATTAGGGAAATGAAAAATCAAACAGTGACATTTAATTCTTCCTAAATTTGTCAGAAGATTGATTCATGGAAAGTAGTAATGAGGGTGAGAACCATGTACTGATTTGTACTTAGGACAGTGCCAATTGGCAGTCTTTTGGGCAAAGTCTCCATGCCAGCAATCTCGGTTCTTAGCATCTGCCCCTGATGCAGTAGCACATTTTGTAAATGGGCAGGGGCAGGCACACTGATATCTATTGCCCGGTTTTTGTTTGTGTGTGTAGGAGGAGGAAAAACATTGGACAAAGTAACAGATTTTCATGGAAAACTGGTGAAAAAGTTGACCATGTATGACTGATTTTTGTGCAACACATACACCTCTACCTCATAGTAAGAGTACACTTAAAATGTCCATATATAGATGTAAAGGCATAGAAAATTACATACATCTATATTAGAGAGGGAAAGAGATTAGACAGATTTTTTGTTTTCCTGCCATACAGATTATTGTTAAAGCTTATCTTATAAAACAACCCATTTCCCAGTAAAATTTAATTACTCCCAAACATACATTTCTCACAAAATATACATGGTTATTACCTCTCTCCAGCATTTTTCGTTACTTACTGAACCTATTAATCCAGGCCTCCTTTTTCAATCTGACCTATTTTGAAAGCCCCAAAATATTTTCTCCACAGTCTACCCTACTCACAAAGAGCTGAGTTATAAGCTCAAAATGAGGCCTCAGAATGGGTAAGGTGCAGTTCCCAAAGGACCGGTATAGAAGTCAGTAAGGCAGCCACAAGAGGATTCTTGACCACATAACTGCCTTTGGTAATTATAATTATAACCCCTCTGACAGACAAAATATTGTTCAAATGAGACATATAAAGACGTATGCTGTGTCTCCACGTGGTGTCAGAGCTGCTGTCACACCAGCATGCTCTGTACCTAGGTGCAGTCAATCCAGTGCTGACTGCTGGACTTGAGAATGCTTTCTCCACATCCTTCCTCTGCCACACCCTCTGGACTATTTCTGGTTCTTCCCTAGCTTCTCTGTCCTCCCTTGTGAGTGTGGGACCAACAGTGGACCCACGAGAAGCTTTTCCCCCACAAGGGCCACATGGGGAGCTCTCTTCAGTAGAGACATCACAGTTCTAGTTAGAATGAACTATTTGACAAGCCCAGGGACAAGATCTCAGTTGCTTTTCTTTTTGAATGGATGATTATTTTCTCATGTATCAGGCAAGTTCCTTAATGTTATTTTTGAAAATTATGTTGGAGGATTTTTAATGTAGCAGTGATTTGTGACTTCTCACCTGCCTAGTACTGGGAATGGAACCCAGAGTCTTCACCCAGAGCTACATCCTCAACCATTATTATTATTACTGTTGTTGTTTTATTTTGAGACAGAGAATCACCTAATTGCTAAATCCTCCTGTCTCAGAATCCTAGAGTTTTGGGATTATAGGTATGTATCTTCATGCCTACTTGCTTCTACTTCTCTTGACCCAATAACTCCATGTGTGTGTACGTGTGTGTGTGTGTGTGTGTGTGTGTGTGCTCACACCTGCACATGCACACGTGCATATGTGCAGCACTCCATTGTCTCCTTTGGCTCTTGAAGGAGGGAGGACTCTAGAAGCCAGGCCCCTGGCACACCCTTGAAGGTAGTGCCTCAGCCCCTCACCTGGGCTTCCTCCCAGTAAGCCGCAAGTAGATGTCATAGATGATGGCAGGGGCCCGGTGGCTGACTGCATTCCAGTAGTGGGTTGTGAATCTGGTGGTTGTGAAGTCAGCTTTTGGCCTCCTGAAAGCTTTCTCAAATGGGACCTTTTCACAGGTTGCCAAGACTTGTAATCCTGAGAATAAAAGAAAAAGAGTTTAGATTCAGGTCATAGAAGCCCTTCACACTGATAGACATCTGCCATGGATCAAAGTAATAAAGGCCACAGATCTGAGAAAAACTTGATCATTTTCATGCTGGGCAAATGATCATCTGCAAATTAAATGCTGTAAAGGTGCTAAGAATTGAGGTTTTTCTGGAAACAGTTACTAGCAAACAAATTCTTCAGAAAAGTTTCTTCCAATAAAAGAATTGAACTTAACCCATCATTCAATACCAGTGTTATATAGTCTATTTGGAAAGACTGCTTGCCTAGTAAGCTGGAAGCTCTGGGTTTGGTCCTTGGCACCAAAACTAAAAAAAAACCTCCCCTAAAAAACATTTCAACCACAAAAAGTACAGTAAAATAAAAAAAGACCAAAAACAAACAGGGCAACTGGAAAGATTCAAGATAGAGGACAGGGACTATATTTCCTGGGTTGGGTCATTACTTATAGAATCACAGGGAATTTCTTAACAGGTTAAACTTTCTTAAGGTTAAATTTTATTTTCTTTCTCCTTTTAATCTTTTTCATTTTCCTCTTTTTTCCTTTTGTTTTTGTTTTTTGAGTAAGTCTCACTATGTAGGTTATTAGCCCAGGATGAGCTTGAACTCACAATTTCCTGTCCCAACCTCCCGAGTGCTGGGATTACAGCTGTCCGTCATCATGCCTGGCTAAATGTTCTTAAAGTTTACATAAATGAGTGTAACAGGGAGGCTTTCCTTATACTGACTCACTTTTTAAAGTAGCATAGTCTTATTTCTTTGGAATTTCTATTTTTCTGGGAAGCTAGACTCAATTTTTCACTACTCTCCAGAGCTTGTTAAAAATAATTTTCCGTTTTGATATACTTAACCTTAAAACTTAGTTTAGGATTTTTTGTACATTTGTAGATTTGATAGTTCTCTTCAAATGATACTCATTTAAGTTCAGTTTTAGTTTACATACAGTTTCTTAAAGAATATACCCACACTCTTTGTTTAATTATGGTAATATGATTATTGACTTCCTGCAAAAGATTTCATCTAGAAACCTATACAAAAAATACAGACCTGATCCAGAGAAGAGATATCTGGCCCACAGACATACTTGGAAAAATATACAGTTTATAACATAAGGGATTCCAACACTAATATAAACTTTCTAGTCTCTAGGTCTGTATGCTTGTTCATCATTTCTGAATGGACATGTAATAAACAGAATCACATTTAATAGCTCTAAAACTTGAGCTTTTGATATTCCCACTATCAGCCGCCTCATTCCCCATGTATACACCAAATTTTCTTCTCTACCAATATCTATCTCAAAGTGCCAATTCAATAGTTTTCAGTAGTTCAGTCAAAAACACTGAAGTCACTCTTATTCTTTATTTTAAAAATCTTCATACAACTGAGTAGCAAAATCCATTAGCTTTCTCACAATTTCTACTGCTATCCCAGATAGGCATCATCATGATAGCTTGGAAAATGACAGTACTGTCCCCCACAGTCTCCTGCGCTACTTCTGGGCTCCTACAGTCTGCTCTCCACACGGCAGCTGGCGTGGTTCTTCCTGAGATGTAACGGGAGGCACACTGTTTCTGTGCTCAGAACTCTTTAATGAGCTCTGCTTTCATTTAGAGGGAGAGCCAAACCTCTGTTCGATGAGGCTGAAGCACCCTCACCCTCCCATCCCTGCTCATTAGTCCAGCTTGTTTCTGCCCTTGTTCCTCACTGCTTCCACTTCAGCCGCAGCAGCTGCCTTGATACCCTGGGACATACAGGAACTACTTTGTGGAAGAGCTTAATGTGCACATCACTTCCTCCAGGTCTCTGCCAAAATGTCACCTCAGCAAAGATGCCTTTCTTGACCACACATAGAACAACAAACTCATTTTGCTTTTTACTATGTCTTTTTAGTTTTTAAGCACTTAACTATATCTGATTTTATGTAATATATATATTACAGGAAAATACATATATATAACTTCTCCCTACCAGAACATAAATTATGAGAATAGAATTTTGTCCTTGTTGATACCTTGAAAAGCATTTGAAAAGTGATCATTACCCAATAAATATTTGACTAAATGAGTGAATATCTCAGAGACAATTATTTTCTATTTCCCTGAATCTACCACAATAGGTGCTGGGAATATATAAATATATATTCGTTGACCTTAAGGAATTGGCAGTCTGGCAGAAGATGTGGACAATTAATAAACTGAAATGGTTCTCCTGGCTATTATGCTACAGGGTACTCCAGTGTCCTTTGGAGGACTATGTGGGAAGCCTCTAACAGTGTCTGGGTAACTGGACAGACAGAGATGAACAGGGGTCAGGAAAGCTGGGGAAAGCTATCTAAATGACCATAGCAAACATCTGCTGACACATAAATCATTCTAACCACTGTGCTCAGAACTGAGTAAATCCTTCCAAACATTCCCAAGTAGAATAATTATTATTCTCATTTATCTGGTCTATAAGTAGACATTCAGTAATTTTCCCAAGTTCATATAACTCATAATTAGTGGAATCTAGATAGGACTCACACCAGCACATCATCTCTATGTGGGATGAGTTTTTGTCTGCTTCGCATCATATCCCCAGCACCAACAACAATGCCTACCAGTGAACTCAGGGGTAAAAAAGTGAGCTATAATTTGAATCTAGGAATATTGAACCTCAAAGCTCATTAAGCTACTCCCTCACTTGAAAGACAAAGTAGAATCTTAAACATGTGGAAACTTTATCTTGGAGATTAAAAAAATCACACTTTTATTTGCTCATAATTCAAAGATAAAATTAAAATGAAAACTTAAAAAAATTTACAAGTGAATGATAAAACATTGTATAGCAAAATGTGAGGAATAGAGGAAAGCAGTACTGAAGAGAAATGCCAAGCCTCAATTGCTTGTATTAGAAAGTAGAACATCCATGAGGTGTATTTTTCAGAGAAGGAGAAAAAGAAAACTCAGAAAATAGGAAGAGACAATAGAAGACATCAATGCAATGGAAAGCAAAGCAGCAATATAAAACATAAAGCTGTAAATTGCTTTTTGAAAATAAATATAATAAATGGCTTTGGATGAACTGACAGAAAAAGAGAAGACACACAAATATTACAAAGCCACGTATGAAGTGAAGCCTCCACAAACTCAGCTAAATAAACCTTTCCTTCCTTAATTTTGGGTGTCAGGTATTTTGTTCCAGCAAGGAGAGAAAAAGTAACTGAGAAAGAGATATATATTAATAAGTGCTGAAAATCCTGTAGGAGAGGTAAACTGCCTGCCTTTACTCTCTGCCAACATCAGACATACGAATTTATTTCAGTGAGTTTCATACAGTAAATAGATCCCATTCCTCACATGTAGACAAATTGGAGACTTACATGTAGACAAATAGAATTTTGGATGGGTCAGAGTTTCTTAAAGTGGATTCCATCAGATGTGACATTTGTTTATACTCAGCTATAAAAACAGATAAACTTGAGGCTTTTATAGGTAAATGGATGCCGTATTGTCTCCCTAGTGTAAGAACTTGAAAGAATAAGTAAAATCTGAAAGGTACAATAAATATAGTAAAAAGGAAAGAAACTGAACACAAGGAATAAACATTTGAGGGCTGGTGAGATAGCTCAGTGGTCTAAAGTTTAGGCAAACTTATCACATGCCACGGCAGTCCTACTCTCTGGGAGGGCTGAGACGCCACCCCACCAAAAACAATTGAGATTAAGAAAAGGAGAAAAACATAGGGGGAAGAAAAAGGGAAAATCATATATACTGGATAGTTAAGACGATTGTACTACTAATTTCTATCACTTTTTGAAGATAATGGTTAATTTTTTTTTACTTTGACCAATTTTATATGCTAATATCTAATTTGAGCAGCTATATTTAAGACAACAAAGTGCAATATAACAGTCACAGCTGATTATCTTTCATCTCATTCTTCTAAATGTTTATCATCTCTTATGTCCTTTTATTTTGTACTCTCTTTAAAATAAAAGCTAAAAAGGACAAGGAAAAAATGTAAGATTTATTGAAAGGAAGAGTTAACGTTTAATTGATCAATCTTGCACGCCTATATCTGGTCATCTGAGCAATAATTTTGACAATACTCACGTAATATAACAACCATTGTTCATTTTCTTTTTTTCGTTCTTTTTTTTTCCTTTTTTGTGGCCGGCTCAGCCCACCCTGGCGGCGGGGCTGGTCCCCTGTGCTTGCCTAAGCTAGCGTAAGCAGGGGCTTTATACCGCTGAGCTATCTCATCAGCCCTTAATTTTTTTATTCTTGTTTTCAAATTCTGTACCTTTTTATTTTGTTTTTTTTTTGTTATTTTCTTTGTTTTTGTTATTTGTTTTTTTAATTTTTCCCCTCTTTAAAATTAAAAAAATTCATATAAATGCTTATTAAAAATGTGCTCCAAGGTCAGCCTGAACTACATCCCAAGACCCGGTCTCAAACAGAACAATATGGTTTCCGGAGAGTGGATCAACGTGCCTGAACAGAGCAGGCCTCGAGTGGGGGTGGGGAGAGTCTTCGCAGTGAGACCCAAAGTTAGTTGGAAAGCTGCTATCCGGAAATCAAGGCAGGATCTGGGTCACTGAGGCGGAAACAGGGCGCCCAGCCAGTGGCACCGCTGCAGCCTTGCACAGCGAACCCGGGCTGGCAGCAGAGGGAGGGAGGGAGCGGGGGCGGGGCCGGGTCATGAGGGTGGGGCCGGGGCGCCGGGGCGGGGCGGGGCGTCGCAGTGCAGGCGGGGCGGCTCCGACTCGCCTGGGCCCTCCTCTTCCCCACCGCCTCACCTCCTAGAAGCTCCTTCACCAGGCTACGCTCATTGAGGACGCCGAAGCCCTCACCCACGCCATCGGATTCCATCCAGGCCCGTAGGCGCCCGGCCTCGCGCACCACCCGCCCGCCTCGCAGGGCTCGACCCTGGGCCTAACGAAGCTTTGGCGCCGGGTCGGTGACCTCGGCCGGTGGGGTCTGTCTCCGAGGGGGAGGGTGCTTGCTGGGGGTTTTGAGTGCGAGAGAAAAGAGGCGAACTGCTGTGGCTCCCTCAGTCTAAACACAAGCAAGGCAAGACGCTGTGTTAACTCTCGGGCTTTTGGGCAAAGTGGTCACATGTGACTGCATGTATATTCTCTTGTTAGAGTATATATATTTTTTCAGGGTATATATATTTCGATTTACTGGTGTTTATTTTCTCTGCACATACTCATCACTTTGTTTTCTTCAACTCATTTCCACAGCACTATTTCTTCTCTCCCAATTTTAAAATTCTTCCTTTCAAGTTCTTAGTTCACCATATCCTGTCAGTCCCAGAAGCCCCACGCTTTTCTGTTCCATTCCATTTGCCGTGCCTTATGTGAGCTGGTCCCCAGTCACTCCTTGCCTCTTTTCACCTTACTGGTGCACAGAAGGTTCTGATGACCTCGATGCTTTCCTCAGTCCTAAAGTACACCTCCCTCCTGCTGCGTCCCAACCTCGCCCCCACAAACACCTTCGTAAATCTCTCAATTCCAACACTTGAGCCCAATTAGAAGTCCCTCAACAGAATCTCATTCCGGATCCATTTTTTTTTTCCACCTAGTACTATAAATCGTATTTGCCTCTCTCTCTACTGACCTATACCCTTCCTGTTTTATCCATTCCTCCACAGAAGTATAAATGCAATCTATATGAAGGATAATTGGATCTGTGACACTATTAAAAATACAAATAATTGCTTCTTCAGAACATAAGGACAGAGTCCAAATTACTTATATTTAGGTACCTGAAGGGCTATATACTATCTTTGTGAAAATAAACTTGAAAACAAATCACAGGAAGGCAGTATTTTACTAAAAATTGATTGTAGCTTATCAATTACAAGCTATACTCGTTTGACCTCAACTTTCAGCACCAAAAAAAGGAAAGGGGGAAACTATACACAGAGGAACATGGGAAAACAAGGCAAAAAAGACCCCCAAGGTCCCTCGCCTTCACCAGGCATATCCAGGCGGCACCCATGGAGAGGAAAGCAAACACCAGGTAACAGAGCTTTACAAACTGATTAAAGAAGAATTAGAGAAACTTGGCAAGTTCAAAGAGGGCAAGATCCAAAAATTTATGGAATTATCATATAAAATGACCAATGTGGATTTTGGGGAAATAAAAACTTGGAAGAGCTGACCAAAATGGTTCAAAACATGAGTGACAATTTACCAAAGATACAGGATCTAAGAAAAACATCTCAGAAATACTAAATATAAAAGATAATATAGAATTCATAAATTGCAGAAATGACCGATGTGAAGACAGTTTCTAAAATCAAGGACAAAATGGTAAATTATTACAAACTGTTCAAAGAAGCCTCAAAAAAGATGAGTGAACAAGAAAAATTCATCCAATAGCTGCTAGATGACACTAAAAATACCAAATTAAGTCTAATTGGAGTGAAAGGCCACACATGGAATAATACATTTACAGAACTCATAGTAGAAAACTTCGCGAGTGTGAGGAAAGAATTCAACATGCAGAAAATTAACACCAAGTGCAATGAAAAAAGAAGCTCTCCACAACACATAATTACAATGCCAGTTGTCCAACAAAGAAAAAAAATTTAAAGCTATCAGAGAAAAGCAAAATAATCACATAAAATTAAACCCATTAGAACTACAGCTGACTTCTCAACAAACTTAGAAGACCAGAAGAGATATGGTAAAGTATTTTATGCCCTAAAAGCAAGTTACTTCCCACTCAGATTAACATATCCAGCAAAACTTGTCTTCAAAATAAATGGAGAAATAAATACCAATTCATGAAAAAGAACTACTCAAGAAATGTATGAATTCCAAACTATCATCCTCAGAAAATACTCAGGAATATCCTACACAGATACAACAAAGTCAAAAATGCAGATGGAATGATTACATCAAGCAAGCAGCGTAGATTAAGGAAAAAAAAAAGTCATCATCAGAAGAAGAATACAGAGATAGGAATTATTCTAGACCTTTCAGTAATATTTCTCCAGGTTAATGACCTCAACTTCCTCTTTAAAACACAGATTAGACTGTATCAAAACAATAGAATCCAACAGTCTGTTGTATTAAAAACATTCATCTAATACTTGTCTAAAAATCGAAGGATAGAAAACAGTATTTCATGGACCAGGACTTCTAACACAAGCAGGGGTAGCAATTTTACTTTCAAACCTCAAGCTGAAACTGATCAGAAGAGAGAAAGAATGTCACTATGTACTATACAAAAGTAATTAAAAAAGAAATAGCATTTGTAAATATATATATGCACTGAGTACTGGAGCACCTAGGACAAATGCTGCTGGACATAAAAGATCACAAAATAAACACACAGTCATGGTGACCTTAATGCACCACTTTTGCAAAGAGATAGTTAAAATTTGTTTTTCAAAAAAAAAAAAAAAATCAATATTGGGGCCGAGGAGTTAGTTCAGTAGAATAAGTGCTTGCCTGGCAAGCGCAAGGGCCTGAGTTCAGTCCCCGGTTCCGAAAAAAAAAAAGTTAATAAATATCAGTAAAGAAATATCAACACTGAACCTTGAACACATGTACTTAATATGAGCAGAGTGTTCTACCCTAATATAAGGTAGAGTACAAGTTATTCTCAACAGCACATGGAACTTTCTTCAAGACAGACCATATACTAGTCTTCAATGCCAGCTCAAAAAGTATAAAAGAACTGAAATCACCCCACATTTGCTACCAGACTATTGTACAAGAAAACTAGAAATCACAGAAGAAACCATACAAAATTTAGAAAGACCTGGAAACTTAATTCAAAACCCTTGAACATACAGTGAGTCACAGTATAAATCAAAGAAGCAATTAAACAATTTCTAAAAGCAAATAACAATGCCAAATACAGCACACCACAACCTATGAAGCCTAAGATGAAGCGTATTGCAATCAATAGTAACATTATAACAACTGTGAGGTCAAAAAAATAACCTAATGAGGCACCCTAAAATGCTTGAAAACAACAATCCAACCCTAAACCAAAATTATGGAGGGAATAAATAGCAGAGAAGAAATGAATGAAATTGAGACGAACAAAACAATGCAAATTTTGAACAAAGTGAAGAGCTCGTTCATTGAAAGAATAAAATAGATGAACCCTTAGCCAAACTTCTCAAGAAAAAATTAAAAAAAAAAAACAACATATACCAATGTTATTAGAAATGAAAAGGCAGGGGCTGGGGGGATAGTTCAGCAGCCTAAGCATCTGCCTGGAAAAACACAAGGACCTGGGTTTGATCCCTGGTCCTGGAACCCTTGCAGGCCACCAAAACCTGGTGTGGTGGCACACACTTATAATCCCAGTGCTGGGGAGGCTGAGACTAAATAGATAAATAAATAATTAAAAAATAAATAAAGTGACAAACTTGCAATAGACGCCGTCTGAATTCAGGAGACAGTAAATATTATGAAAAAGCAAAAGAACATTAAACTTTTGAGCAATCCAATTACAAGCAGTGAAATTGAAGCAGGAATTAAAAAAATCTACCAAAAAAAATAAAAAAATAAAATAAAAAGGAAGACCAGGACCTGCTCAATTCTCCAAAATCTTTAAGGACATTATAGTAATACTCAATCTCTTTAATGAAACTAGAAAGGAAATAATTCTTCCAAACTGATTTCTGGAAGCCAGCACCACTCTGAGCCCCAAAACAGACAATGACATAACTGAAAAAGAAAACTATAGGCCAGTCTTCTTAATGAACCTAGATGCAAATATCCTCAATAAAATATTGGCAAATAGAATGCAGTGAGTCATGAAAGGGATTGGATCTTCTAGCCCTCAATCACTTCACATTCTCAGGGGTACCCCAGGGAGGAAAGTGGCATGCACAAAAGCAGTTGCCCAGCAGAAGGAGTGTTGTATCACAGACGTTGCTTGCTTTTGCTTGATTTTATTACTAGTTTTCAGTGTCTGTAAGCAGTGGACTCATTTTGTACAATTATTCAGATGTTCTACCTTCTGTTCTTTCACCACAATACATTCTAGTTAATTATGACACATTTATTATTCACAACCATTCCGTTTCTTATTGTTTTCAACTTTCTCCCTGATGGGGGTCTCTGCTCCATGACTCCCACTGTCTGTATCCCTGAGACAAACATTGGTGCTTGTGTGGGTATGTTCCCAGGCACACTTACCCATTTTGAGCCAATTACAGGGATTGAGATTACCAGAGGTACAGTGGTAGATTAATGTTGATTTAGGTCTGCAAGATGAATAAAAATTATATAAACACAACAAAATGGAAAAAAATGAAAGAGAAATAAGAGGAAATAACAAAACAGAATAATTTCAAAAATTTCCATGACTAAAGCAATTTATTAAAAAGTCCCATCTTTTATTTCTTCTTGGGTAACAGGAAAAATGGAAGGGTAGGAAAATTCTGTATGCATGTAAATAACATCAAACAGGTATGAGAGATTGGAAATATGTCTGAGCTCATATAAGAAAATTTTAATTATTTTTGTCACTTACCAGCAGAGCCAAATAAATAAGCAATCTATATTTTTTCCTTCATATTAGAAAATCACCCCTAGTGACCTAAACTTTTGGCATTTATCAGGAACTGAGCAGTTCAATGAAATATAAAATATGCTACAATTTTGTCAACTTTTATCATCTCCTTACCTTAATAAAAGAAGCAGTGGCATTGATTACTGAATAGAATAGTATTTTGGGTGTCAAGAATTTCTTAGTTACGTGATTTTCAGAGTACACTGTTTTATGATCAACCAAGTCCAAAGCAGTATTTATACAATGATTCAATGCATATATGATGGTATACTGGGGACTGTATAAAACACTGAGAGAGATATTTCATTGTACTAAGGGTCTTCAACAATGAAGTGCCTATATTTTGAAAATGCACTTACTATATTTACCTCTTTCCTCATCAAATCTTTGAAAGACTACTCGAGCATAGATACCTGTGTACTGCAGTATACCAGCCTGCTGCTAAGGTGAGATTAACAACTGTATCCGCTGGGATTAAATCTGCAATGGCCATCGGAGTAGCCTTGATGGCCCGAAGAAATCCTTTCCCAGTCTGCACAGGAAAAAGAAGAGCTATTAGCAAAAACAACTGACATTAATTTGCCAAGGCTTACTAGATTGTTATATATTGCCTCCCAGCCTATCTAATTTTCCCAGCCAAGTTAATTTCAAGTACCACCATTTCTGTGAAACATTAGTAACCTTTGGGTCCCTTTAGGGAATAAAATTACTCAAATCTGTAAAAGTTAATATACTTAATTTAAAAACTGCACAGCAAAAGAAATAACCAAGAGAGTGAAAAGAAAGCCTAAAGAATGGGAAAAAGTTTGGCCTTCTCAGAGGACTAATATCTAGAATATAGAAGTAAATAGAAAATGATAGACCCCTTTAAAATAAAAAACCTATCAAAAATGGGCATGTGAAATGATAGACACTTCTCTGAAGAAGTACAAACAAATAAATACATGAAGAAATGCTCAACAATTCTGGCCACTGGAAAAAATGCAAATTAAAATAACTCTGTGACCATTTTATCCAAAAAGAATGGCTACCATCAAGGAACCAAATAATAACAAATACTGGTGAGGATGTGGGAAAAATGGGAATGTAAACTGGTATAACCACTAGGAAATCAGTATAGAGCTTTCTCAAAAACTAAAACTGGAATTTCCCTCTAATCCAGATGTTCCCTTTTTAGGTATTTTCCCAAAAGAGTCAAAGACATTGCATTCCATGATCTATGTGCACCCACATTTATAGAAGCACAATTCATAATAGCTACACTTTGAAAGTGGCCCATATCCCCACCTATGGATGAGTGAATAAAGCAAGTGTGATCTTTATGCATAATGGTGTACTATTCTGGCATAAAGAAAGATAAACTTGAGTCATTTGTAGGAAAATGAATGCTTTACCTTGCAACTATAATACTTAAGTGAAATAAATCAGACACACAAGGAAAATTGCATGGTTTCTCTTACATGATAAAACTAAATTGTAAAATAAAATGTAAAATAAAAGATGGATAATAGAAATTAGGCTCTCACTTTTTCTTTTTTTGGTGGTACCAGGGATTGAACTCAGGACATTGTGCTTGCCAGGCAAGCACTTATTCCACTGAGCTATCTCCCCTGCCCCCAAGAATAGAAATTAGGGAGCTAGATCTGTCTCAAATGGGAATGAGATCAAGAGATGGAGGCAGGGGAGAGGTGGGAGGAAGAAGGGGTGAAGAACGAAGGAAAATGCACCCTGCGTGTAGACATGAGGCTCTGCAGTTGTGTACTGACAAAGGAGAGCCACCAAGAGAGCACTTTCACACCTTAGAAGTATATTTTAAGAATTCAGGTTTCCTAAAAATTTTCATGAACTTATTTTTACTGTTTCATAAGTCACTCTGTTTTCTCCTAGTGCATATTAACTTATAAGAATTAAGGTTAAGAAACATTTATCTGAAAAAAGGTAATGAACACAAACCTGCCATTTAATAGAACAAGATGTGCTTGGGAAAAGAACCACAATTTTTTAAAAAAGAACCACAATTATTTACTTTTTGTTTAGTATCTTAGTTCTAGTAAAGAAAAAAAAAGCACTGATATTATATAACATATTAGAATTGGGAATTATTCATATTAATAATTTATAGACTTTATGAAGTATGCTGATTCTCTATGCTTTGCATTTTTCCAGCATTCAGTTGAAATTATTAGCACTTTCTTATGTTGCTAATTTATTTTTCTTGTAACTGATTTCCCCTTTAAAGAACATAGGAAAAACAATTTTTGAAAAATCTTAGAACATCTGAATAAATGCGCAGCTTTGCGATGCAATAAAACCCACTCTGGTCCATGTTAAAATAACGATGTTCTAGGTCATCTGACATTTCCTGCCAGTCACACAGTAGGGGAGGGAGTCCCAGGCAGGCAGGGAACAGAGGAGGTGCCCAGAGGAATCAGGGTCGGAAGGCACCTCGCTGTCACTGCCTTTGATAAGCCATGATTGGCTGTTTCACATTTGCATCTTAATTCATGTTGAACATAATCAGGGAGGAATAAAGAGAGCATGTGGCTTGTTTGAGTCAACTTATTTGGATGACTGAATTTCTGTATAGAATCCCAAAAACTGAAGTCACTCAGCTTCTTCACATGTGCTGAGAAGCATAAGGGGATGAGTCCCGCACAGGCAGATGTCTGTCCAGTGCAGGTCTGCCCTCCCTGGTGAGGGAGGAAGGGAGAACAACTGCTCCTGAGGACACCAGCAGACATCTGTCTCGGACGGATGTGCCAGGACACACAGCATACTTCCCTGCATCTGCCAAGAACTCTTTTATCTGCACACACCCAGAAACACTTAATTGTGGTTAAGTCAGGAATGTGATCATCTCAGAGGAGGTTTTTACTACTTCCCCAATTTGCTGCACTAATTTGAGCTATTAATAAAGGCAAAAAAAGAGAGAATGCCTCCATCTTGTGGTAAGTAAAAGAAAATTCTTGTTTTTCATTTTCCAAGCTAAAAACTCCCGAAGAGTAATTAATAGCACATTACCTCTATTTTCCTAATAATAAAATTCTCACAGGATAAAGAGAATTTCATTCAGTGAGTCTTTTCAATCGGCAAAGTTGAGATAAGCTACTCCAACTGCTCTTGGAACAGTAACATTTGTGTTTGGATCAATAAAACTAAGTCAACACTAAGAATTACATTACTAGTCCTCCACTATATTTCAAGAAATTATTTCCTTATTGTTATACATACCGCAATAATGAGCCCGCTGGGTCCATTTAGGTTATCAACCCAACCCTGAAGAAAAGAAGATTTCTACTGATTATGTGTTTCAAAAAAATAATTGTCTTTGGAACAGTTTCAGTTTAATCTTAATAAATTTAAACCAAAGCACAGAGATCCCAGGTAACAGAACATGATACTAACACAGTACTTCTGAGATGCCAAGCAAAGTCAGTGGCAAAACACTGATCTTTATACACTTTATCTGGCTGTGCAAAATATAAATTCGTTGGCACTGACTTCATAACAGTCTCCTGTTACACAGGCAAAATTAAGTCTTTGTCTTGATATTATGATTTGTTAACCAGTGCATTGAGCATTACATTTCTTTTTTCATCTGAGCTTGGATTTTTAAGCTCTCTCAAAACATTTCACACAATTTATTGGAATTACTCATTTCTTGAAAATTTTAACATGAACAGAGTCCATACAACATATTTTTTGGTGAGGGTATTGTCAACCTGATGGAGATGTCAAGGGAATGATGTTTAGTGATAATAGGGAAATGTCTTTTGGAGTTTGTTTTCTAATCCCTAACCAAATCTGTTTCTTTATCTATAAAATTCAAAATGTATACATACAATGGGAACGAAGAGAAGAGTGAGGAGAAGATGAAGGGTCTAGTGTTTGCTGATCCTGTTTCTAGGGCCATGCACTTTAAACACTGCTCAAGCACTGTCTCATTTAATCAACTCTCCAATGGTAAGCTGCACAGGCTCAGGTTTACAGATGATGCAGTTCAGAAGACTGTGCTACTGGGATGTACTGCAGGGCTCTGGCTTACCTGGCCCTAGAGCTTCACAGACCTGCCTTGGAAGAGATGGTGTAATTCAAAGTACCTTTCAGAAGGTGATAGCAGTATATACAGGTAAAAATTTATTATTCTTAACCTGAGAAACTGAGCTTTGTGATTCTTGTTTATCCTGGCAGCTGTAATGTTACCAATTGGACGATAAAGAGCATTGTGGTATATTAAAATGATAGTTAGAAAATTAAGTAATGATATTATCTCCCATCGGAATTGGGAGAATAGCACTTAAGAGCTCCACCTGACTCTAGGACACATAGTATAACTCCCAAAGGAGGCTCATGCCAACAGAAAAGAAAAACAACAAACATATATCTATCACCTATCTATCATCTGTCTCTTACCATTTATCATCTATCATATTCCTATAATCTATCAATCTTCTATCAACCTATTATCTGCCCATATTTATATCTGTTATTTATCATCTATTTATTATCTATCATCTATGTATCATCTATCCTACTAAAGTCTGAACCAAACATTGACTTTAGCCGTCATATAATGGATTCTCTTTTGATTTGCTGCACTCAGCCACCCAAGGAGAAGTGGATGGGGGCTGGAAGCATACAGAAGAAATCGAGCCACAAAGGCCTGGTTTGCAAGAAAGGCAGGGAATGTAGTAGAGCAGGCATACTGGGAAAGGCTCCTGCCAGGTGGCCCCAACGATGGAGGGTCTGATGATGGCAATGTTCATGTTCGCGCCTTCCTGCTGCACCACAATCTCTCCCAGGGCCTTGGTGTAGGTGTATGTGTTGGGCCGGTCCCCAATCAGCTTGGGAGTGATCTCATCAATGATCGCATCATCCAACCACCTGAAGGCAGACAAAATGAGTTCTAGCAGCATATTTCACAACAGGACATAGAGAAAACTTGAGACACAAGTAATTACACATAGTTTCTACCTTCTAGTGCACAGTCACAGGTTACCAAAGATGAGTTGCACCTGTTCAAGTCATCGTGATGCAGGAATTGTTTTCTACCTTCACCAAGCCAATCTAATAAACCCTACTGTCTCCCGCTAAATCAGATAGATAGATGATAGATAGATAATGATGGATGTATAGATAATAGATAGATGATAGATAGATAGATACCTGATAGAAGATGGATAGATGATAGATGGGCAGATACACTGATAGATGATAGATAGGTGGTGGGTGGATAGATGATAGATGATAAATGGTGGATGGATGGATGGATATATAATAGATGGATAGATGATGGATGGGTAGATAGGTAATAGATATATGGATACATAAATGAGAGATGATTAATAGATGATAGATGAGACAGATGATGATAGATAATGACAGATAATAGAAGATAGAAGACAGGAGATAGATACATGATAGATGATGGATAGATGATACATAGATGATAGATAATAAATAGATGATAAATAGCAGATATAGATATGGGCAGATAATAGGTTGATAGAAGATTGATAGATTATAGGAATATGATAGATGATAAATAGTAAGAGATAGATGATACATAGGTGATAAACATGGAGGGTTTTTTTTCTGTATTTTAGGGAAGGGTCTTGCAAGAGCCTTTCATTAATAAAATTTTACTCAGTGTCTCAATAAACAGAGCAATGAGGCAGAGTTTTAATCTGCTTAAGCAAATCTATGAAGTATATATTGAAGGTTTGTTTAGAGCCGAAGACAATAACCAGTAATTATTTCCAGAAATTTCTAGTGAACTCTGCAGTCTAAGTGGAGTGGTTACAATAATTGAAGCGGCATGAGTAGTGTTTTTGCCTAGCACTCTACCAAGAGGGAGAATCACTGTGAATGACGCTGTTAGCAGGGCACTGCCTCATCATTAAAAAAAAGTTGCAAGCATTTTGAGCATCCCAAGTCTATTTACACTTCTTTAAAAGAGTAATAAATTATTGTCAGTTAAATATAAAATGTGTGGTTAAATGATGGATACAATACAGCTTCTTTGAAAAAAAAACTTAGGCTGCCTGAATGTATTTGTGTGGATTTTGTAACTAATGCATTTGGTATATTTATTTCTACTTTATAGGACAGAAAATAACCATACTCTTTTGATTGTAGAAAATCTTAGCTGTATTGCTTTGCTGACAAAATGCTGAGCACTTAAGATGCATGTGAATGCTAAGATTTATTCAGATTTATGTCTCCCATGTGTAATAACTCATCTGATGCTGAGCCAGAAAAACTGGCTGTAATCTTTTAGCTTTGCTTGCTTTGGTCCTGCTAGTGCTGAGTATATTCTGGACACTCAGATGCCTCTAAAGTTGAATAAAGAAAGATTAAAACGTTTCTAGAACTAAAAAATTTCCAAATGCATGCAGAAATAGAGGATATTTCAATTACAGCCTCACCTGGCGGTGGGTAGAGAGTGGGGGGCAGTGCAGGGACCCCGTGCCTTGACAATAATGCAATTTTCTGTCAGTTGCTCAGATTCAAGGACCTCGCTGGTACCAGAGCCTGTGCAAATGCAGGCTTCCTGTAGAAGATGGATGTAACCTGTGCACAACCTCCCAAGTGATTTAAATCATCTGTATTACTTCTAATTCTAGTATAGTATGTGTTATATAATGAGTCGCCATGCTGTATTTTTAGGGAATGACAAGAGGAAAGTCTGTCCCTGTTCAGTACAGACATGACCCCTCAATATATATATATATATATATATATATATATATTTTTTTTTTTTTTTTTTTTTTTTTTTTTTTTTTTTTTGGTGGTACCAGGGATTGAACTCAGGACCCTGCACTTGCCAGGCAAGCACTTATTCTACTGATCTATCTCCCCAGCCCATTCTCAATATTTTTGGCAAGAGGTTGGCCGAGTCTGTGGACAAGGAGCCCACAGCTCTGGAGGGCCCACTATGCTCACTTGGGCTCTTCTCCCTTGCAGGTTAACAGTGGGTGACTGGCCTAAGGTTATTTTCTCTCACCTTTGAAAACATACAGATCTCAAATACCAAGTTTAGAAGAAGCTCAATTTCAACAACACAGTGATGAAAATATTCTAGGTACACATCAGAATCCAGCAATCTTGGGGAATGTACGTCTCTAAGATACCACTAGCTCTGTCACTGATGCTCATATTCCTGGGGAAGAGGACAGGGGATTTTACTGTGTGGCAAGCTGGCTTATAGAAAACTCTGGGCTCAAAGACTTCTGAGGAAGCGAGTACCCAAGACCCCAGGTGTTCTGCAGATGGCTTTCTGCTCCTACTCTTGGCGCCTCTCTTCACTGTATTAACTTCTTGTACCCTTCGTGTTTGCTTGTGAAATATGGCAATGCATCATTCTAAAGTCTCAGGGTGTCCTGAGGAAAAACAGGAGTAGGCAACTCACAGAAAGCTGCTTGACAAAACACCTTGAGTCAATGAAACTAAGACTTGCTTGTTTGTTTGTGGTAACAGTGATTGACAAATTGACTCATGGTGTTTTGTTTTGTGTGTGGTAGGCAAGCACCCTACCTAAGAATGGCATTTACCAACCCAATGAAATTCTTCTTCTTACACATGGTTTAATTATGTTTTCTAACACTGCTCAAAAGACCATCTACTGTCTCCTCCACCACTGCCTGGACTCTTTTGGAGGTTAACACAACTATCCACAGATAGTGGCTGAGTGAGGCCCTCTTCAAGACTTATTCTCTGATCTAAGTTGTTGCTGTTCTTTGTTCTCCATCTGTCATTAAGGCAGTAAACAGATGAGCACTGCGGACACGTCTTATAAATGAGAATACTGTTCCGTCACTAAGCAAGTGCCCATCAGTGTACTCAGAGAGCTGTTTGTGCTCACTGGCTTCCAACCCTCAACTGCTACTTAACTTGTTACAAAAACATGAAGTTGGTACTGACCTCAGAAAGCAGTGTGTGTGTCTACTGTACATACACACAGGTGCACACGCACATCTTGTTTATACTATCATATTTGCTTTGTGATGTGTTATGTTGATATTCTATCATTCATCAGTTTGTTTCCATAGAAGCTGAATGGAATAACTGGAGAAAATGAATCCATTTCTAATATTCATCTGCAGAGACTAGAAAGTCTACAGCGATCTCAGGAAAGGCTTCCTGCTCTCATCCCATGTGTGCATTCTCCTTTAATCTGGGTCTTGCTCTTTGCATGATGGCTGCATCATCATGCCCTATGTTTGCTTCCATGTCCATGGCCCATTGGCCATACTAGCAGAGATTGCACCTGAAAGTATGCATCTAATTGGCTGTCTGCCCTCAGGATCCAGGTACCACAGCTGTGAATGATACTCTTCCACACAGTTGCCGTGTGTGGCCCATTTACATAATGCATAAAGTTTTGGGAGGAGGAGACAGTCATGGATTATTAGTACAGCAACATTCCTCAGGACAGGAGGGCAGCTCCAAAGGAGATGAGGTTATAGGGAGTTTTACAAAAAGAAGAGCAGACATGTCTGTGAAATGCAAGACTTCAGCATCTGACATCAGCAGGAAGAGCTGAGACTCAGAAAGGCCAACAGTGACCAACCTTGGCGTGGTGGAATGGGTTTCAGAGGAAACAGAAATTTTTACTGGGTAGAAGGCTATGTTTAGACCTAGTGCTCATGGTGACTGGGTCTCTATTTCTCTGCGGACTTTTCCTAAGCACTTTTCCTGACCCAAACCTGTGCTGGATGTGCAATGAACAATATGAATATAGATCCTCTTGTGCAGAAAACAGCGAACAGCGTAACCCCGCTCTGATTGCCATCTAAAGCCAGGTGACATTAAAATATAAAAAATGCTTGGCTCTTGCTCAGCTGGTCGATGTCACCCCAAGACCATCCTGAAAAGAAATGTGTAAGTGCTAGACTTGGTTTCGACTTTTCTCAGCATAGCTTGTCTTCCCGTGTGAGCTCGGCATCCTTAGCACACAGGCACATGCCTGTCTGAGGCTGTCCTCACAAACCCCTGGGACAGCCTTCACCTCCTTGCTTCCGTTCTTCACCTGGGTGGCCCAGCCCGGGGTGCCTCTGTTAGTATGGAATCTAGCTGAGCTCTGTCTCCTGGTGACTTAGTTACTTCACAGTACAATTTTTTGGTAGTAACCAGTCTGCTGGGAACTTTCATTCAACAAAAACATGTAGGAATTGAGGGCAACAGAAGGAGAGCTGAGCCGAGGATGAGGGTGCTTGGATTGTTAGTGTACAGACATTCCTCATCTCAAAAGAGATCTGCTCAGTCAGAAAGCTCCCCAGCACTGCATGCTCAAACAAAGAATTTCTCAATTTCATGGGGCTCCCAGGAAGAGTGCAGGTTGTAGGTGCCATCAGAGGACTGCTAGGTCAACCTTCAAGGTAAGGCTGATAATGTGAATTTTTAAAAAGCTCTGACAATTCTTACACACACACACACGTGCTGCACTCCTTCAATGTATCTTTACTGACTACACAATTGAGTACCACACCTCAAGTTGGACCCTGCATGCTTTCCTCCTTTGTCAGGCAGGCTAGGAAATCACTGATTTAAAAGAAGTCTAGTCTGTAAATTCAAGGTGCGAGGTTTGAACATAATAGTGTTAGTTCTCAAAAATGTACTGCTTCTTGGAATAAATGCTTCCATAGAACTGAACTTAAAAAAGGAAATCTTTGTTGTTAGAAATGCAGAAATGTAAGATATGATGACTATGCCTACCTTAACTTGGTGTCTTATTAGTTGCCATGTACACAAAGCAGTAGCCTTGCTGGGTCTCCCCACAGTAACAGAAGTGGTTTTCATTTTTCTGTATCTGTTGTCATACTACTGCACTGCAGGTGGTGCCTTTGCTGCCTCCTCGACCCAGGGCCAGGGCCTACTCCTCTCCCATGTTAGTATGATTCTGAACTGCCATGATATCCAAAGCTTACTTTTTTTTTTTTTTTTTTTTGTACAGGGGATCAAACTCAGGATGTTGCCACTTGCTAGGCAGGCATATACGCTGCTGAGCTATCTCCCTGGCCAAGGCTTACTCTTTCTGATGAAAAACAAACAAACAAACAGCAAGCAGCCAAGAAACCACATACACACACACACACACGCACGCACGCACGCACGCACACCATACCCCTCCAGTGCACCATCTCTGCCTACAGAATTCAATACCACACCTCAGGATCTCACAGGTTGGACCCTGCCTGCTTTCCCAGAGTGGTCTGTGTTTGCCTCCTGCAGGGCGCATGCGTTATTTTCTCACCATCACCAGGTTGCTCTGCCTAGCAGAGGCCCCTTCGCACCTGCCCCCCTCACCCAGTCTTCCAGGCCTGGCTTAGGTACTCAGTGCCCCCCAGCCCTGCTCCTATAGGCTTCCTGCACCAAGCCCTCGCTGCAGCTCCACAGGCATCATTCTGTCTGCTTTTGTGTATTGGATTCAAGCTCCTTGAGCGTCTGTGCCTTTTATTCTCTGGCATTGCCTGGAATATAGGGATACTGGGAAGACCCTGGTCTGGAGAACCAGTGTCTGTGAGCAAAGATTGTGCCTGAGACTTATCAGCTAAGGGACTTCTGCACCGCTGATTAGTCCACCTGGGCATTCCACTCTTTTGTTAGCATAGCTGCAATGCTAGCATCAACTTGACAATGTTACATGAAGGAGAGCAGTATCTATGGAAGCTCCTGGTTCACAGTAACTGCTCAGCAGTGGTCCCTTTCCCTCCTCTACTCAGTGCATGCTTCTGAGGCTTGTTTAAGTCTGCTAGCCAAGGCAGAATTTACTTAAGGATCCATTGTGCAGTTCCTAACTCCAGTGGCTGTGGGTTTTACACGGGTGCCAACGCCCTTTTCTTCTGAGCTAGTTATCCTATGGCTTACCTTGGCCTGACAAATGCAGAGCACCAAACACAAAACCGTACTTCTCCTGGCCTGTCATGTGCATTTTTAAAAAGAAATATTCTATTTAAACTGCTACTTTAGAAAATTGAGATCTCATGGGCAACCCCTGATCCCTTTACACGCTGAAATTTCTAAAGGAAAATAGTGCTGAATATGCAGAGATGAGACACAGAGGAGCAGAGATGAGCAAGAAGGGTGACACTGGTCTCAGGACACAAAGTCTGCAGGGAGGAGAGCAGCAGATGTGAGGACCAGAGCTAGAAGCGAAGCTGTGCCATATGGGTAATCGTCATGTCTTCTGGGTAAAAGTATTGCTGTTCCAGCCATTACTACAGTGTGTTTGCACCAATATGCTAAAGTCGTTGTACAAGCACAATCCAATCTCACCTTTCTGGAATGCTCAGGCCTAATGTAATTCTGGAAGCTACCAGATGGGCTCAAGGCAAGGCGCAGAGGCCTAACAATTCGAAGCTGCTGGACAGCAGAACCAGGAACAGGGAGGGAACCTGAGACTGCAGGGCAGCAATGGTGGCAGGGTGGGGCTGACGTGCACAAAGCTGTGCTACTCCTAGCAGCCCTGGGCTGTGCCACTCTAGCCTGAGCAACAGGGAGGCTTCAGAAGAGCAAAGTGCGTGTCGTCCTTCATTTCCTAGCACTGGGATTACTGTCCAACTCACCTTCTGGAAAAGGAAAGGACCACTTAATAACATTTCCAAGGGAGATTCTCTTGAAAGCACAAAGCCCAGAGCGCAGATTCAATACTACCTTGCTGCCAACTCTGGACTTCTTTCAGAATATAGAACCACCAGAGTGAGAGCTGTTGACCAGCCTTAGTTTTTTGTAATATATACTTCCAAAGGAACAGAAAACTAAAAGCTATGGAAGACTATTTTTATTTTAAGCATAAGTCAATAATTAAAGAGAATTTATGAGAGAAAAAATACTTTCTGTCCCTCTCTCTTCCATGGCACAGGGGACTGAACCCAGAGCCTTCACTGAGTCATACCCCCAGCTAAAACTATTTTTTACTGAGCCATCTCCCTGGTACCTAAAACTATTTTTTAAAAATTTGAAGCAGGTTTCATTTAGTTGCTGAATTGCCCAGGCTTGGCTCAAACTTCCAAGTGTCTCAGCCTCCCAAAGTGTGAGGATTATGAGTGTGCAACACCACTCCTAGGTAGACAAAATAGTTTCTTAAGACAAAACACATACATCTGGGTTGAAATGAATTAACACCGCTTGAGCACCCTTCAAAGCAAAATCTGAAATACAAATGTAAGTTTCAAAGGGTTAGAGCTAGCGCACCTTTCCCCTTCATGTGTACTTGAGGGATACAGGACGTGCTGAAGACCTGAAGCCAAGCCAGCTCCCCTTCGCCTGGGAAATGAGCTTATTCTGTGAAAGCTGGGGTGCTTGTGTCTGTACACAGTAGGGGAGGAGGTGGGGAAGGGAGTGGAGTACAGCGGGAAGGGGAATCACTGTGGGTGAACTCACTGCTCTGAACTCTTTCTGAGTGAATTCATAGGAATTCTCTCCTGCCTCGGACTGCACCAACCTCCTGAGTGCTGGGGGACCATAGTGCAGCAGGGTGAGGGAACAGCCAGGTTGCAGTCAAAGGCTCTGTTCCTCTGTGGGGCAGTTTCAGTGTATACACACCACACTCACAGGGGACAGCACAGATAGAGTGCAGGAGCTGACCTGCAGACCTAGTCCACTGGGAAAATGTGTGGAGTTTTGTGCAGACTCCAGGCATCGCTCAACCCTGCCTTCTCTCCAGACAAATCACAGTTCTGCAATGTTCCTGACACCAATTAAGCAAAGCCTCAGTTATTAGCAACTCCAAGTCACTCCAGATCCTTTAGATGACCTTCATTACTCTGGCCTGGATATTTCTAAGTGACAGGTAAAAAGCTATTGTCAGAGCTGAAGGAGATGAAAATGTTTGTCTTTAAGGGAACAAAGTTTTCCTTTAGCTAAAGCCTCACAAATAGGATATTTTAAATATAAATACAGTATTATTATATGACATTATAATGTGACAAATTCTCTCTGAAGTAGTTATTTTTCCTGCTATATTTTTATGTGGTTTAAAAAAATAAAGCACATTGTTAAGGTAGTAAAATGGAGCAGATGAACAAAGAAGAAGATAATGGAATTACACTTATTTTGAGACTAAAGCCATGAATGGCCCAAGGAGGTAGTAGTTTCTTTCATGGAAAGGAAGAAGATATGGGAGAGACCTGAAGTTGGAGAGTAAAGGGAGTATCTTTCTTTCTTTCTTTTTTCTTCTCTTTTCTTTTTTTGTGACAGAACCAAGGATTGAACTCAGGCCCTTGCGCTTGCCAGGGAAGCACTTATTCCACTGAGCCATCTCCCCGGCCCCAGGACTATCTTTCAGCTGAGTGTTGATTCTGAACACTGCCTTCAGCCAGATTATCCCTGAGAGTTCTCCTTTCCTAACTGTTTTTCAGCTGCTTGCAAACATGAATTTGTCATCACCACTCCACCACAGGCCATTTACCTAGGGTGGGATGGGGCTCACAAAGGTCAAGGAAATCAGTCCAACTCATGCAGCTAGTAAGTTGTGGAACCACATGTTGAACCCATGTTCCTCTGATGCCAACATTTTTCTCCTGAACTTTTACACCCTACATTGTATTTTGTTTATCTGGGGACAATTCTGGGTCACTAAGAAGGGAGAAACTATGACTAAGAATCCAAGAGGACAGCTGCTGGCCCACCCCTTGACTCTACTTACTCCATAGAGTCAATGATTTTCTTTGGTTCTACAGAACATGGGTAGATCACTTCATCTATGTGCTTCAAGTTGCAATTAGAAAAGGCTGTAGAGAGGTGTATGAAGGCTTCAAGTTTGGGCATCTGGCTTGCCATAGACAGGAGCTGCTGGGTGGCAGTGACGTTCAGCTGCACAGCATGTCTGCAAAGTAAGCAGGGAGACAATATGAGGGACTATGCCAGGAACTGCCCTGACCACTTGGACTTGGGTGCCTGCCTCAAAAGACAAAGAAAAAGATGGTCATGGCACTATAGTTATAGGATACTTGCAGTTGTTACAGGCAGATAAGTTTCATGAACAAAAGCCATGAGGAATCTCACACTTGTGCACACACACACACACACACACACACACACACACACGCAAGCCATGAGAAGGAGCCCAGAATGTACCTCAGATGGTCGTCAAATCGTACAGTGGCCGCACAGTGGAAGACAATGTTGGTGGAGGACAGAAGCTCCTCCAAATCTTCCTTGCTGATGCCAAAATCATGCTGGTTGAGATCTGCACTAATAGGTCTGATCTTCTCATGCACATTTGGACAAATTTCTTTGACTTTCTCAAACAGCTGAAAAATAAATAGAAATCAGTGCAGAAAGACTGTCATCACCACACTGTTCCAAATGTACTGCTTTGTTTCACTGTACTTCCTGGAAACTACTTTTAGTTGATATCATCCCACAAGGGGTCTACCGACTCAAGAGCCGCTGCTCCCATTCCCTGTGGGCCAGCCAGGCTGGTAGAACTCCTGCCTCTCTAACTTGAAAAACATTTTCAACAGTCCATTCCAATAACCAGCAAGGGGCTTATGTTGAGTTTTTCTGAGGAGTAATGGAGTGACAGTCACCCACACCCTGCTGCAATCTTCCTTCCCACTTTAAGACAGCCTCATGTTTATACACAGTGGGGACAGTTTCCGGTTGGAGTGGCCAATTACTGTTCCCAATACAAAATTACCAGCCTTTACCAATCACCAGCAAAATTACCAATGACTTGGTTAACTGACTCAGAGCAGCAGATGCTTTAGCAGTGCAATAATGACTAGAAATAAGAAATGAAGCCAACTTGCAATGGGCGGAACAAAAACTCCGTGTAATCTCATTCTAATACAAATGGCAGTTTAGGTTTATTATGAGAATTACATAAGATCATGTATTTTTATGGAATCTTAACTGATTTTTTTATATTCTCACTGATATATATATAAAGGGAAAAGAGAACAGATTCTCTGCTTTGTCTTCCACGCAGAGATTCGTAGATTAAATTGCTATTTTTCTTCTTTTTCTATGTTTTTTGTTTTTTTTTATGAATTCATGACAGGGTCTACAGAGTATACAAGGTGTGCAGGGTCACATTACATAGATTGGGTTTGTAGAGATTCTCCTGTTTTCAGCTTCCCAAGCACTGGGATTACAGGCGTGTGCTACCATGCCCTAAACTGGTATTTTTCTACTTTCTCAGAAAACATAATTTTAGTAAAAATGGTCTTGTTTCTAGCCTATTTTGATAAGACAGAATTTTGCTGTAGCACAAAAATATTTGCATTTAGAAAGCTTAAGAGAAGGGAAATTTAGTCTGTGGCTTCAAACATAAAATAGCTGTAATCAAGAAGGCCCCTTCTCCCCTGAATCTCAAATTATGATTTCATAATTCTTTCTTGACTCTTAGGAACAGGCTTCTTCTCTCCACTAGAGAACTAGCAATACTCAGGATTTGTTTTGTTTTGTGCATAATGCAAAACTGAGCCCTGTCGTAAGAGAAGTCACTTTCCATTTATATCAAGCAGGACTATGTTCAGAGGCCATCCCGGAACATGATGAAGAGGACTGGGGAAGGGAGTCAGATTCATAGGGTAGCCAGAGAAGCCAACATACTTTTGTCTCTAAGTTACTATTTTTGTACACTACTAGGTCAGCCCTTTCTGTGGGTATTACTGCAATTCTGAAAATAACTTAGAAGTTAGGTCAATCCTCAATGTTTTTTGACACCTGGAACTGATAAGATAGACAAGGTGTCCTAGATGGGTTCTCAACAGAGGTTCTTCTGGCTCTTCTAGAACCACTGTCGAAATGGTTCTTATAATCTCAGTCACAGACATACAAAATATTTGCTTTAACAATAGCGTATTTGTCCCTTTGGTATCAAGTTTGTGTTAACTGTACAAGCATAGGTTGGATATTTTGGGTAGATTCATGAAAAATTTGTGCAGTTTCCCCATTTAACAATTGAATTTGTAGAAGGCTCTTGAATCTACATGACAGGCATTATTTAATGGAAATTTATTTAGAATTCTGTGGACTCTGATTTTGGTTTGTGGTGATACCTGGCTGCAGGACAGAAGCAAGAAAGGGTGAGGCATGACGTGTATATAATGCTGTTGGAACAATGTGATGAAGCCCTTGACGTAGGTCCTATACTGGTAGTTACCTTTAGGTCCTCATGCAGTGGTTATCCACAGGACCTTGATTTCAGAGAATTTACCAGAGATTGGATTTTACTTCCTGCAGGTTGTTGAAACTAATCTTGTCTTTTCTCATGTGAATCTCTGAGCTTCATTCACATTGCCAAATCCACCTCTTGAACTATGACTATATTATTTCATACTAACAAAACACCAAAACTTGCATAATATTTTTATTTGGTAAAAAAAATGAGGTATTTTATGTTTAAGTACAATCTGGCACTCCAAAGGGAGATTGTAGCCTTAGAGAATTTCTGGAGTGATGAACAAAAGCAAATCTAAAGGTTCTTCAAGTTAGCTCTACTCTGAGAACAACAACAACAACAACAACAACAACAACAACAACAAAATAAGTTCCTATAAATCAAAGCACAGGAAAAAAACCTCCAAAACAAAAACCCATTATGTCTTATGTATAGTTTTAACAAAAAGTCACAGAATGTTAGGATTTTGCTAATTCCTTAGTAACACCCAGGAGGTGTAAAGAACCCATAAATTTCCGTTGAGGACCATTTCTATAAAAGCATAAGGGAAGGTGGTAAAATAGTATAGTTGTCAAACTTTGGAATGTAGCAGGGGTGTCTGACGAGTTGTGGGACAGCTTCATTCCACAGTGCTGAGGCACAGTTTAGGTGCCTGTTCTAACCAGTGGTTCTGACACACACTCCAGATCAAAGTCATGAGTGTCTTAGAAAGAGCCCAAGCCCTCTGGAGACATGAAGGACTGGGTATGGATTCTTCTTTTTTTAATTTGTAAAATTTATTTATTTATTTGGTACAAGGTCTCACTATGCAGTTTAGAATCATAGTGATCCTCCTGTCTCAGCATCCACAGCACTGGGATTACAGGTGTGAGCCACCACGCCCAGTTCTGGGGACAGCATGGCATGCAGTACCAGGGATCGAACTCAGGTCCTCAAGTTTGCCAGGCAGATGCTTAGACTGCTGAGCTATCTTCCCAACCCTATTCTACCTTCTTAACAGAAGCAATATCTCTGGGCTCACAATGCTGCACAGTTATGAACATGGCCTTTGGAGAAGAGAACTGCAGTCTGATTTTGCTGTCATTTTCTTGGCCTTCATTACATGACTTTGGCCAGAGGACAACTTTTTGGACTAATTTCTCATCTATAATGGTAAGAGTAGTCATATCATGGGGATTAAACAGAATAATGAAAGTCAAATGCTGGCCCAGTGCCTACCTCTTGTTATATCCTTTGTCTCTGTTTCTGTCTATCTTTGTCTCTCTGTCTGTCTGTCTCTCAGTTACTCTTTATGTCTCTCTGTCTCTGTTTCTGTCATTCTGTCTCCATCTCTGCCTATCTCGCTCTGTTTCTCTGTTCTCTCACTCACTTTCCCTCTTTGTGTGTGTGTGTATGTGACTCTTCCTTTCTTCTCCCACTTTTCCTATAAAGGAACAGCAGGTGCCCATGGATGAGGGGCTGAATATGTATTAGCTGAGCTGTGTTCAGTAACTGTCAAACTCAAGAATAGCTAGTTTTCATTAATCATGGGCAAAAGTTAATTCCAGAAAAGTATGCTTCTTCTTCTAGTTATCCTAAATTTATAGAACTCTCTTGATTTTTTTCTCCTTGGTGCTGGGGATCAAAACAAGGGTGTTAGGAATGTTATCAAGCAAGTCTCAGTCCAGAAGCCTCTTGCTTTTTGTTGGATGATTTCTTAGGAAAGAAAAAAACACAAAACAAGGGGCCAGGGAGATAGCTCAATAGAATAAGTTCTGGCCTGGCAAGTGCAAGGGCATGAGTTCAATCTCTGGTTCTGCAAAAAAAAAAAAAAAAACCCCAACAAAATACAAAACAGTAATGGAAGAAAATGGATTTGGGAATTCAAAGCACAAGCTTTTCCTTCTAATAGATGTTGTTTTATGTGAAGAGTTAGTGGAATCATTAGCATTAATTAAAAATCCAATTTTGGAAATGAACAAGCAGTTTTTATACTGAGCCACCTAAACTAAGGATGAAAATAGTGTTTTACTTTTTTTCTGTCTAAGAGTCTTTAAAAATTACCAAGGAAAAAGTTAAAGGGAATAAACATTTTCATTGTACTGTACTCCAAAATGCACAATGCTAGATTGTTTTTTCTTTGCAGGTGTTACTTAGTTCAAAGTTCATTATTTTAGTTAATTGCTAATTTGTTTATATAGATTAATATATCTTCTAGGGATTGACTTTTCTGATGTCTAGAGGAACTGCTAAGCAGTGACTGTCTTAAAAGAACTCAATAAAGCACTTCATAATATGTTATCATCTATTGTCTTAAACTGAGCTATGTTTTATTGCCACGGTCAAGATAGCCTCACAGGAATTCATAGAAATCCTACGTGGTTCATCGTCCAGTGCTCTCCTATACATTTCGGAGGTGATTTTTCTTTGGACCCCTGAGGGCTTTTTGAGTAATACACAATTTTCCACAGAAGTGCATGTGCAATGTCTGGTGAAACCTGCCAAGCTTTGTGTTCATTGATCCTTTTCCTGGTGACATCACCAGGGCAGTCTCCTCCACATCCCAAACCTAGAATTCTGTTTGGTCTTTGAAGCGGGTGCATTCTAAACCTGATCTGAATTCATCACAACCACCCTCTGTCTAAGGCTGTGTTATAGTTTAGATCAAGAATGTCCCCTCCTGTACTCAGAGATGGGGCTTTTGAAAGGTGACTGAAGTATGGGGTGCTACAGCTGACTTGCTGTTGGGAGCTGGACCTCGTTAGAGGCAGTCACAGGGCTGTGATCAGGAAGAGCCTGTCTCTCTCCCTGGCTCCTCTCTTCCTTCCCCTGCTTCCTGGTCCCCAAGACCTGAGCACCTCTGCTCCACCAGGACCCTCTGCCATGCTACTCTGCCTTGGAGCCAGCCAACCATGGACCAAAACTATGATCCAGAATAAAGCTCTCCTCTTTGGTGCTTAGGTGTCAGGCAACAAGGAAAGCAACTAAGGTAATATTGTGGCTTAATAGGAACAGCATAACCATTTTTAATACTCTTCCAGTGAAACCTTATTAAGAATCTGGGCTCACAATCACCCTTAATTACCTATATAAATCACTCTCAGTGTATTTAGTTTTTTTTGTATTTAGTACAGAGTCTACAGG